AAAAAACTGATGAAACATCTGTCACTTCAGCTAATAACATTCCTAAATGCAGAGCTCGCCTGGAAGAATGGAGGGCATCTAGAGGAAAAGTGATGAGACGACCTCCTATACGTGCAATTCTGGGACCCCACCCTAAAAGTGAAGAACATGAATTCTCTGCTGCTGATACAGAAAAGGTCAACAAGACTCTGAGTGAATGCCTGCAGTTAACAGAACAGGTACCTGGACCTCTACCTAATGAGTTCTGATCATGTAGGTCCTGACAATGCAAAAATCCTCTGGTCACTTTAGACCCACGTGAGTCAGATACAATACAACAATTAGGAGACTAATTGTTCCCCAAGTTAAGCAATATCATAGCTTTTGCCAACAGCTGAAGAAATTAACCTTTACTAACTCACTGAGCTACTGAATAAGTATAGGCAATAATGGTAATAATAGTAATTGAACTACAATGTAATGAGAGTAGATAGAAGGAATTAACCTAAAACAAGTTTGCATTTGCAGGAACTTGTCTATACTTCTGAAAAAGTCTGTTTCAAGTAGTTCTGAAGATGCTTGAACATCTTATAACCTTTTCCACTTACAATACAGTATAAATAATTCTAATTTGAAGAATAGGTGAATAACAATTCTGCCAAAGGAAAAAACCTTTTGCATTCTAGTTCAAAAGCAGTGAAAGTACAGCACCTCAGTGTGTCAAATGCATTGAAGTCTTTACTTTTGTGTTGACTTTAGGGACATCACGGTGATGAAGCACGTGCCATGTTGGAGGATCTGATACACAGCACTCCTGGGGTTAAAAAACTTGCAAAATATTGGATCTGCTGTATGCGTCTTGAACAGATGGGCCAACTTGGAAAGCTTATTGCTGTCTATGAGGAGGCCATTTTGGCAGGAGCAATGGTAAGCAACTTTTCTTAAAAATTCAGATTTACAATTAAAAGAAAGACATGAAAGTATGGCCTGTAAAATACAACTGCCTCTGATTTTATTAAATGCCTTTATAGTAGGAGGAGAGCCTCATGACCTACCTGGCCATAAAAATAATGGATTTTGTTTGTTCTGTTGCCACTGTAGGTACTAATTTGAAGAAGAAAGGTTTAGGATCATCAAATTACCTTAGCACCACTAGAAACCCAAAATAGAACTTAATTTTATACCTACTGATGGACTCAATTTCTGTGCTTTACTATTAGCAAGATTTCAGGGCATCAAATACATCTTTAGCACACCAAATACTGAAAATACAGGATTCACTTGTGTTCTGACTTCACACTGAACAGCATTAAAGAAAGTATTTGTAATATGAAAATCATGTGGCCTGCTTCACTTTCCCTGTAACTATTATACCAATTGAATAAGCTGAGATGATAATTTTGGAATTACTTTTCTAAAACAGTGCAACTTTCTTTCAGCCCAGAGAGGAATTGCGACACACACTAGTAGATACAATCAAAAATAATGAAGGTCTTTTTAACTCTGACAATGGTAAGTGTGAGTACTCTGTTCTAGTTATATGTATGATTTGATAGCCAACAAAAGGTGTTTAAACCATTTGTACTGATGTAAAATTTTAATTAATGGAAAATTTTCCACGATCATTTTACACTCAATTGTCTTGGAAAACAATCTTGGCTAAACAAATCCTTTTCAACAGTGAGCATGTTAAAATGATTGGAGATGCTCCTGTATTCAGACTTGTTAATTAAAATTTATAAAAGCTGTGTCATCCAGCTATTTCAGCCTGATAATCAAAGAGTAAATAAAAATACTCTTGTGAGCTAAAAATCAGTGCCTCTGACTCAAACTCCTTCACTACCCGAAGCCTGGTTGTGTTTTATGGCATATTGTCAATTAAAGGTTGTAAATATTCTGATTTTGGAAGCAAAGTAATATTTCCTTTACATATAACATAACCTGACAACTATCTGAACTCAGAAACTGGCTGAAATACTTGTTGAGACCTGCTTCACTTCAAGAGGATGACTTCTCAGGATGTGTACTTAGCCCGAGCTTTCAGGTTGCAGATTTTTAAAGGTGGCTAAAATTATCAGCAACTTAAATTGTTGTGGCTCAGACTTCAATGGACACTTTCCTGAAATCTTAGGGTTCTACGTGAGAATAAAAGTTATCTCTCTAAAAACATTCTCTTCAGTTGTAACTAATTGCAGATTTACTCTCTTCAATGTTGCATTTTCAGAGAGAGCCATGATAGAAGCTCATTTAAGTGAGGTAGAGAAAGTCAGCAAGGAACCAAATCCATCTGCAGAACCAGTTCAGGAAACCTTCCAAGATCTCTGCCCAGATGATGATCAAAAAGAAGAGAGTAATAATAAGGAGGCAGAGACAAGCAGTGATGTTATCAAAAAAGATGATTATGTAGACTTAAAACCAAGAGAGATCTTGCCAAAAAAGAATAAAAAGCACAAGGCTAAAGAACGGGCAAAAAACAAAGGAAAATGCGAAAGAGAACAGAAGGAGGATGGCACAAAAAATGCAGCCAATGCAATTAATTCTCCTGAGAAAGAGAATGACACATCTTATTCAAGGAGATGCAACCCTCCTACCACGCCATATTTGGAAAGGTAAGATTGCTTCAGGTAACCATGGCAAGTCTGTAGTGTCTGCAGAAACTGTCCCCTGTTAAAACAGGCACTGCATTTATGAATATTTAGTTAAAAGCTCTCAAGAACCACATTTTTAGGATTGCTTCCTCTTCCTTCAGAACGAAGTATTTCAAAGTAAGCTTCTCTATTTACCCAAACTGTTTTACTTCTTGAAGGGTTCACTACAGAGTAACCAGACTTCTGTGACAGACATGTAAATTCCAGATTTAGGATTCCCTTCCACTGCCAACATGGCAGTAGCAGTTCTATACTGAGCTAGGTAAAGAGAAAGATGTCTCCATTCCTCCCCTTTTCAAATGTAGATAAGGTTACATGTCATAACACAGAATTAGTGAAGATGTAACTGGCCTGTAAAGATAATTTTAATTGTGTCTTGAGGCCAAAACCTGGGTAGTAACCTCAATACAAACCAACTAATGCTTTTTTTTTTTTTTTTTTGCCATAAATTTTTTTCTAAGACAGTAGACTTAAGGAAGTTGTACTCAGCTTTAACATGTGATGGAGTTGGAGTCCTGGCAGCTGTCCACTGTCCCTTGCAGCAGGAAGAACAGTTTCCCCTGATGGAATAGGAAAGAATCTTTCTTTGGGAACTCTTTTCAGGAGGTTTTCTGGGTTAAAATATTTGCCTAAGAAAAGAGTTTCTTATCTGGTTTTAACTGAATGAATAGAAAGGGACCTGTTTCCTTTAGCCATGGGAATGGGAAAGAGCTGAACAGAATCATGATTTGCTGTTTCTGCTCATTGCTGCAGAGGTAACTTGTATGATGGCATGACTTATGTTTATGTTTTTGGTTTGTTGTCTTCTTTTCCTAAGTGTGAAGACGCATCCTGAGGCAAATGACTGCAGTTCTAAAGATCTGAAACTCATAACTCCTTTGCGGTATTCTCAACGCATTCGGGAGAAGATGTGCAAGCTGCCTGATGCTGTTAAAGATCAAGATCCATGTGTCTCTTCACTTGAGCAGCCGGGAGACTTGGAATCAAAAGCCACTGTGTTTATTCACAAACAGAGCAATGCCCTCCAAGAAACAAGTGCTGAAATAGAAGAGTAAAAGTAGTGCTATTGCTACAGGGGGGGTTAAAGATTTGATATTTTTTAGGGAGAGTTGAAGGGTACTTGTTTTATGCAGCTTTAAGGAAAGGAGCTGTCTAAAATTTTTATGGACTGCCTGTGTCACTAAATAAACTTTTAAGTTTCTGCCTTTTCAAAATTTTAACAAATCTATCCTGGGTTAAGTACTAGACTAAGCACTGTTGTCTTTATGTGGACTATGTTTCATTAAATTTTCAGTTAAGAACTAGGTAGGTATAATGCTTCATGTTAGTAGCTCACGGTGGTACATTGCTAATACCTACTTTGTTTGCTTGCTGTAATTCCTATAAATTCCTTAGAAACGTGCAATCTTTTAGTTTAAGAAAACAATGTAGGTGTTCCAGTAATACAATGCCTACTCTGACAAGATTTAGCTTTGAAAACTGAAGCCAACTAATAAGGTGTGCGCTGAATTTAAACTGTTTTATCTAGTTTTAGGGCTGCTTCAATAAAGCAGAGTTTAATCTCTTCAATTACTGAGATTTGTTCATTATCAAGTAATCCTAGATGAGATCTGATACACTGCCTTACCATGTGACAATTTTTATGTTGGTTTTTATTAATCTGTACTATGCTATACTTATTACACTCATCACTTTAGTTGTGTTTGTTTATAAGAATGAGCGCCTGGTGTGGGCTGTTGGGGTCCAATCTGGCTTGCTATGTACCCCAGACCACACAATCTTACACAGGGTAAAAGGCAAAAGACAAGACCTGGTCTTCTCCACGTGGGGGCAAAGTCCTAAATTTATTTCCAGGTGACCCCCTACGTGGAAAAAGAAGAGCCCAGATCCCTCATGGTGGGAGACTTTTAAAGCCGGGGGCATGGCGAGTGGAGGAAGGGGACCACAGCCCCTAGGGCTGCCGGTAAGCAGGGGCCGAGGAGGAGTAAACCTGGGACAAACCAGCACCACCGGAGCCCTTTGGGGGAGGGGAAGGCCGTGCACTACAAGCGGGGACACCCATGAGGATACGAACATGCTATTCTGTGCAACAATACAGAACCTAGTGCAAATCAGCTAAATATTTAGTGCAGTACAACATTTGTTCTTTAAAGATTAAAGCTATTTAGTCTGTTCTTAAGAGTGAGGGGTCAAAGCACAACACTGCCGTACTTCCCATGTTTCCGTGTCTGCGCCCCTTCAGCAGAGCAACAGTGCCAAGGCCCCCATGAGGGCCGGGCTGGGCCAGCGCTGCCGCCCGGCCCCGGAGGCAGCACCGCCCTCCCCCGGCCTCGGAGCCAGCGCTGCCGCCCTCCTCCTTGCCCAGCCCCCGCCCCAGGAGAACGCGGGCAGGCCGGGGCGAGCGGCGGCGGAGAGCCAGGGCTTTTCCGCCCGTCTCTGCGCGCCGGTCTCTGCCCCGGCCCGCTGAGGTGAGTCCCCAGCGCGCCTTGAGGGGCTTGGGCCGGGCGTGGGCTCCTCCTCTTCGGCGTAAAGGAGCCGGAGGAAGCAGAGAGCTCATCAACCCTTTTGAACACCGTGTGTGCACGCATAGGACAGAGGATGACTTAAAAGCACCAAGGTTTTGAAAAAAGGGTAACAACCCCCTGCTGCACGAGACATCCTGCAGGATATGTGTTTGTAGCTGGAAAGGGGATCATGTGCGAGTTTCAGCTGCTGTGGGCGCTCTCAGAAAGGCTGGGATTAAGCTCAGTATTGGAGGACAGGACATAGCCTCACGCTATGCCATGGGACTTGCAGGTTGGATATCAGGAAGGTTCTCTTCCCAGAAGCAGAGGTAATTAGACATTGGCATGGGCTGCTCGGGTACGTGGTAGAGTTGCCATCCCTGGAATTGTTTAACTGGATGTGGCACTCAGTGCCGTGGTCTAGTTGACGTGGTGTTGGGTCATGGGCTGGACTTAATGGTCTCAAAGGTCTTTTCCAACCTCATTGATTCTGTGGTCCCCTGATATAGTCTAAACATAGCGACAGGACAACTGGGAACATTTCAGAAGTGCACGAGGGAAGGTTTACACTAGACATTAGGAAGCATCTATTTACTGAGACGGTTGTTGAACATCGGAACAGAATTCTTAGAGAGGTGGTCAATGCCCTAAACCTCTTAGTGTTCAGGAAACATTGTCATGATGCCGCTGTCACGCTAGTTGAACTTTTGCTCGCTCCTGGGGTGGTCAGGCAGTTCCACATGATGACCATTTTAAGTTCCTTGCAACTAAAATATTTATTCTATATCTACCAGTGCAGCTGTCCGTGGCCTTATTCCTAGTGTCCGGCTAGCAAGAGGGCGGCCAACAGCCCACTGCAGTCGGGGGGAGTCAATCCCGGTGGCACAGCCCCAGGGCTGGCTGCTTCAGGCACCCCTTGGCGTCAGTGGCCTCGGGCTGTGCCTGCAGGGAAGAGGTCTCGGTGAAAGCTGCTGTGCTGGCTGAAGGAAAAAGAGTCGAACACTTCCTGGGGTCCAAGTAGGTTTAATTGCCTCTGGCAATCCGACGTGGAGGACCAGGAACCAGCAGGGAGTGACAAAAGACAGTGGCGGGGGGGGGGGGGGGGGGGGGGGGGGGGGGGGAAAGAACAAGGGTTTTAAAGGGAGGTGGAAACCAAAGGAGGGGTTTACAACTAGCCAATCCGGAATGGGCTTAACATAACAGACAACATAATGAAGCCAATAAGTACAAATTAAAGGAGGGGCCCCGGGACCTCAGCCAACCACGAGCCCCAGTAAGACGAAGGTTCTGGAAGACTGGGAGGTGTGGGGGGGTGATTGACTGGGCCCAGGGAGGAGGAAAAGTTTACTTAATAGGGAATAAGAGGGAGGGGAAATTATATAACATAGGTAATTGACACTAAAAAAAAAAAGCAGGGGTAACCATAGCAACATAACTGCCAGCAGGGCTACGGCGGGAAAACTGAAGAGGGCAGAACCATCTTACACAAAATGGGGGGGGGGGAACAATACATAACAGGAGGGAATATTACAAAAAACTTAAAAACACACTGCAACAAACCAGTTCTTGAAGTCTTTGCAGAGTAACTTTTACCAGTTTGATCTTGTTTATGTTGTTTTAGGTGAGAATTGTCACTGGAAGATTTAAGCTTGTTTCTAATAATATGCCTGTGAGTTTTCTTCAGTGTCATGAATCTGAATCCGCCTGCAGGAGTGCAGGTAACAAAAAGGAGATGCAAAGTTGTAAGTCTATAACTGACATTTTTGAAGAGATGTGGCATTTTAAATTAAAAAAATGCAGAAATAGCACTATAATGTTTCAAATTTGACTTTCTGGAGGCCTCATCTTCAGTAAAATCAAGGTAACTCTGCAGGGAAGTTGTGTCATGGTAATGCTGGACAGTTAGGTACCCACGTGTATCATCCCTTCTTGGTATTTTGTTAAGGTCTTTTTTCTTGCAGGTTATATTAAGAGAAAAATTTAAAAAGTGTTAAGGTACTGACAAAGTTTAGAAGATAATCCTGTGAATGAAGAAAAGTGTTGGAACTGAATTTATAAAGAATGGAAGGATACAACGTGTTGGAAGTACTAGGAGAGGGATCCTTTGGCAGAGCTCTCCTAGTTCATCATACAATCAACGACCAAAAGTATGTAATGAAGGAAATAAGGCTTCCCATGGTAAGTGTGACACAAATGTGGCTTCACCCACCACTTAAAAAGGATAAAATTTAAAAATCCTAATTCTGGGTGTGTTTTTGAAACACTGAACAGTTTTTCTGAGAGTTTTGTGTGAGCAAAACTAGACAAGTGTGTGGTATGGTTACTGTACAGCTACATCTTGGGCTGATGTTGTTGGTACTAAGTGAAGTACATGGTTAGATGTTGGGATTTTGGGAAGTGTAGCAGGTAGGAAGGCGCTTAGAATGAAATCCCTGTTCGCACTGATGCCCTTGGCTCGATTGCCATTGATTTCACTAAAATGCAAATTTCATCTTCAACGTCTAATGAGGAAATTAGTGTCATATTACTGCTGGTAATCAGCTATTTGGGTTACATTCTCTGCACTCAGCTAAGCTAAAAGTCACAAAATGGGAGGCACTGGCTTTCTGAGGCCAAAGCTCAGCAAGACCTGGGCACTTGGCCTTATATTGAGTTCATGCAGACTATCAGCTGTTTCAAAGTCAGTGTGTGCTGCTTTGTTATATAGTTCTGCTCTTTTAAAATAGAAAAGGTCATTAATTGAAATAGGAAAAGATTCTCTCCAATTTAAAAAAACCCAACAAAATACCACATGCCCAAAAAACCTGAAGAAGTCTTCAGCTAGTAATAAACCATAGATTAAAAAGATGGGGCTTTTAAACTTTCTAAATGACTTGAAATAACTGAATATCAATTCTTTAAAATATTTTTCTTTGAAAAGTGAGGCACTTTATGTGTATACTTGAACATTTGTTAGTGTGAAATTTATAGTAAGTGTGTTTATATTTTCAGTCTTCATCTGGTGTAGAGAATTCTAGGAAGGAAGCTGTTCTTTTGGCTAAAATGAAACATCCAAATATTGTTGCCTTTAGAGAATCATTTGAAGGTAAGTATAAAAAATTCAAATTCCTTCATTTATTTGAAGTTGCATACTTCTCAGGGATTGAGATTACTTTCTTTTTTTGTTTATAGTGTGTATTATAAACAAAATGCATATTTGTTGTAACATAACACATAGCATGTAGTTAAAGCTTTCCAGTAAAAAGTATTACATGTAGTAAATAATCAATACATATCCTACTAATGAAAATACTAATTATTCTTAAATTACCAAAAATTTAGCTGATGGACATCTGTATATAGTGATGGAATATTGTGATGATGGAGATCTAATGCAAAAGATTAAGCACCAAGGAGGAAATTTGTTCCCTGAAGACATGGTAAGAAAAGGCATTGTTTTGAACCAAGGAGACTGGGAATCCTTTTCCATGTAAACAGTAGGATGCTGCATAAACCAAATTAGAAATATGCTAACATCTTGATGAAACAAAGTCACTTACAGATAGAATTGGGGAATTAATTCTTTTATAGTTTCCAGCAGATCAGGACAAGAATTGGACTGAAATGAATAAAAAAGAAATTGCTGCATGTATCTGAAAATTGTTCACATTGTTTGAAAACCAGTCAGGTTTGTATGCAGTTAAGGAGGAATTTTACACAACAGTTCAGGTAGAATTTAAAGCATAGTAAGAGCACTGCCAACGGGAAGTGAACAAACTACTCTGGTAAGATAAATAAAGCTAACCAGGAGAATAAATGCTTGTATTTTATGTAGCAATTAAACCATTTAGTTTAAACCATTCAGTATGTGCTAACTCCCTTTACCAGAGTAGCTATAAAATTACTTAGGAGAGGGTTCAAAGGGGCATTGTAGTGAATAGAAGCTACTTTCTGCTACAGTTAGGAGCATCACCTTCATCAAAATAAAAGGACCAGAAACCTCAACTAATTGAACATTTATATTTTCTATGACCTTTAAGAGTTTTCTTTTGTACTTATAAAGGAGCACATTTCCTTTTAGAAAAAGTACATTATTTCCATGTGAGTTTTGGTTTTGTTTGTTATTTGGTGCTTTGGATATTTTATCTATTTGCCAATTTACTCTGTAACTTTAGTTAACTTGTTTTAAAATGACCATGAGCTAAAGCTCCCGGTAGTGATTCCCAGCTTCATTATTGCTATGTATTATTAGAGCTTTTTAGACACAGGTAATAAACATTGCTTCTGCAATGTTAAAATATAATCTGTTCTAAAGAACTCAGTCTGTCATGCTGGTTGGAGGCTGTTATGCTGGAGTTACTTTTTACACCCAAATGTTCTGAATATGCTTTTGCTTTCCTAATTTTTTAAAATCTATTAGTATTCATTATATTGAGCATTGAGGTGTTATAACTCTTAGCTACTCTTTTTCAGATCCTTCACTGGTTTGTGCAGATGTGCCTGGCTGTGAAGCACATCCATGATAAACGTGTGCTGCACAGGGATATAAAATCCAAGGTGAACACAGCAAGTTTTTTTGCCATTAATAAACTCTCCTGCATGCAAAAGTTAAACCCTCTCTTTTGTAATTTCCGGTGACTGCTAAGTTCTGTGGTTTTTATTTAGGCCTAAGTATATAATATAAATGAAATTGTTGAGTACATGGGGTGATGTAATACTGTGAATGTAAACATCATCTCAGTATAGCTGGTCCTTCATATCCACACTGCTGATAGCACCAATTGCTTGTGACACTGCATATAACTTAAAAGAATTACAAAACTATAAAAAAGTGTATGGATTATGCAGTTTGCAAATATCTTGCCTCACAATTTCTTCTTTTTTGCTCTTCCTTGTCAGAAAGAGGGAAATTCAGAAGAAAGTGGACCCTTGGTTTGAGTATAGCATAGAGATTAAGACAGTTCTAAGTTCAATTCTCCCTCTGCTACTGATGCTGAGGCCTTAGGCCCACAAAACCTTTCTGTTTTGGTAGAAGTATTAGGAGAAGCAAGTAAAAAGAAATACGGAGACAAAATATCAGAAGTGGGTATTGCTGTATTTTCTGTATATCCAAACTGCAGAGATGATTCATAGAAGAATATTTAAGTATGTTAATCTTTGCTCTTGAAATGCAGAACGTCTTCCTCACTCAAAGTGGAAAAGTCAAGTTGGGAGATTTTGGATCTGCACGCCTTCTTGCACAGTATGTGGACACCCCAACTGATCTCAGTGGTGTCAAGCTTTATTTTACCATTGACAAACAGTACAGAGTTCATAAATCATTGCTTCTCTCCTGGCATTTCCTCTTTGTCGTTTCATAGTCCAATGTCATACGCTTGCACCTATGTGGGAACTCCTTACTACGTACCTCCTGAAATATGGGAAAGTCTGCCATACAACAACAAAAGGTACTGGTGTTTTCAGTGGTCACAAATAATGGATGGGTTTTTTTATTGCTATCTCAGTCTGGCTATGTCTTATCCATATTTGTTTCAGAGAAGATACTGAGACAAAGAAAATTTACAAAGCGGTAATTACAATTTTTTTAAGATTATAGTGCATAAATTCCTCTTTTCTTAGGTAGCTAGAACTCAGTATCTTTAGTCCTAGAAGTCTGAAAAACAGTGTGCAGACCTCTGTTTGTTTGGGAGAGTTAATACATACATACTTGTATGTACGTTTTAAGTGTGTATATATCCACAGACATGTGTTGGTATCTTTTTGCTGGTCTTATTTTTTGGGGAATGGTTGTTTGGATGATGGCTGATGGATGATTTTTAACCTCTTCATGCCAGTCTTGATAATGTAAGGATAATGGCACAGAATGGATTACTTAGGGAGCCCAGTTATTCTGGTCCTTATGCAAGAACTGTGATTGATTTCCCAGGGGAAGTAAGAAACCTTCTACAGTTCAAGTTGTTTTCTGCTCTTCTTGCAAGAAAGGGTTCAGTTTCTTCTTGTGCAAATGGCAGTACTCACTTTTGGTAGAAAATAATGAGGTTTTTTCTCAGTAAGAGAATTCTTTTTGACAGGGCCAGAATTCCAGCTCTCAGAATTAGGATTATGTGGCTGCCATTTGATGTTAAGGGCCTCAGAATACAAAGGCTGTCAAGCGCAGAAGGGTAAATATTGTTGGAGCAAATTACTTGAAGGACATCCTAGGAATGAAAAGCCAACTGCCACTGTATGACAGTCATCTTCTTTTACATCAGGGTAGGATGAAATAAGGAAGAACATTTCCACAGGAGAGGTTAAACACATAATTACATTGTCTTTTATGGTTACTTACATTTATTTTTAGCTTATTCAGCTCAGTTATGTACACAGATTAAATAACACATTTTTAAGCAAGATACTGAACTGTAATTTCTGGCTCAAAATTTTTCATCTCTCTCTATATCTACAGTGATATCTGGTCTCTGGGGTGTATTCTGTATGAGCTGTGCACTCTAAAACACCCGGTAAGTACAGCTTTATTGCCATGAGAAAAGTTTTGGAATTCCTTAAAACTTAATTAGCTTTACAATAGAGTTGACTGAAGTGCTTGCTGCTGCTTCCAAAAGAGGGAAGCATTGCTCTACCCTTCCTATACCTCCTACACTCTATGCTGCTGTTTCAGCAGTTTTTAGGACCTACTGCACCCTTCTGTAGAAGGCACTATTTTCAAATTTGTTAGAAAAAAAATCTGGTTTTTATTTGGTTGATTTTCCTCAATATCAGTGAGGTGATCTCGGCATATTCAATCCAGCAGCTGCCAGGCTGGTTCCAGATACCTGCAGTTGTAAGAGCATTGCATTTTACAGGATCAAGATAATCCCAGGACACAGTGACAGATACACTCAAAATCTTTGCTAATAAAAATATATTGTGTGCAAATAGAGCTACTACAAAGTACTAAGCAGGAGGCATTTTGCATCACTTGCATCAGTGATACACCTCTGCTTGTTCTTCAGATCAAACAAATCACTGTCCAAACACCATTCTCCTCTTGGGACAGTGGGGACCTTTGTGAATGATTCAGTCCTTCTGTCATTTCTGGGACACTGTCTTTTACAGTGTTGTTGCTGTGTTTCTTATGTGTTAACATCCTCTGGCTTCTCTATACAGACTCATAGGTAAAATAAGAACCCTTATCAGGATATGTTTGTTTTGCAGCAAAATGAGATCCTAATTGAGGGTCATTTTGTCTTAGTTTTCTATAAGCAGCAGTTTTCTTTCATTGAGTGAATACTATATCTTGAAATCAGAGAATCACAGAATATTCTGAGTTGGAAAGAACCCACAGAGTCCCAGCTCCTGACCCTGCAAAGGACAGAGCCAAGAATGCCACATATGCCTGAGAGCATTGTTCACATCCTGTGTATCAGCAAAAGGTTCTCCACAGCTGCAAGTGCTGGCTGTGCAAGAGTGTGGAAGCTTACACTGGTGTGACTGAGTGATAAGGGAGCCTGTGCATAGGGTTGTGTTAGCCTAAGTAGGTCTGTGGCAAGTCTTTGGCAGTGTCAGGGCTGTTGAGGCAGAGCTCAGAGCTGGGGTTCCAAGGAGGGAGTATTCTTCCCTTATTAGCAGTGTTGAAAAGTTGTGTGTCTGGTTTGATGTGATGGTCACGTATGTTCTTGCATAATCTATGAGAGGTCATACAAAAGATGACACTCCATAGGTGCTTGGCACCCTGCAGCCAAGCCAGTGGGGTGTAATCAAAGGAAACTTCCTGCATGAGAGCTAGAAGTTCTCAGACATTAGATTTACAAGAGGATGTTTGTGCTTTTACAGGCTATTTTTGATGAATTTTTTTAAATCAAAGCCTTCATATTTTTGAGCTGTTTCACATTTGCAGTTCAAGTTGGATCTCAAGTATATGAATTGATGAATTTGGTTTCTGTAAAAGTAAAATTCAAACAATCATAAATTTATAGGAGTAATTCCTATCTGCTTTTCAGTTGAAGAAGTTAAATTATGTCAGCTACTTTTTACCTTATACTTTAACCCTGTGCTCTAATATTAATTTATTTTAATGCAGTTTCAAGCCAAGAGCTGGAAACATCTCATCCTTAAGATATGCAAAGGGTCCTATGATCCACTTCCATCTCAGTATTCCTATGAGCTTCATTACTTAATAAAACAGATGTTTAAGAGAAATCCCCAGAATCGCCCATCCGCCAGTACTATTCTTGCAAGAGGCTGCCTAACCAAACTTGTGAAAAATTGTTTGCCTTCTGAGGTATGGTGTATTCTTTGTCTCTAGATTTCAGCAATACTATCTACATTTTAGATACTAAATCCTTTTCATTTCTAGTTTGTTGTTGTATAACTATATAAAGTAGTGTCTAAGTCCTTCTCTAAAATACATACAGTTGTAGACTTATCAGCAAACCTGAGCTTTTAAAAGTGTCTCTCTTGAAAATTAAAGTTGGATGTTGACTGATGCTGATAAAATTAGATATTGTTAGCTGAAACAGTGCACTTGTATAATGAGTCTATTTTTAACAAATAGTATATGCAATAATTTTAAGAAATTTAAAATGATACATTACTTGCATCTCTTCTTACACATTTCAGATTGCAAATGAGTTTGAGCAGACATTAAAGGAAACCAAGAAACCTGAAGGCAATGCAGCACGACAGAAGGGTAAGACAGTAACATTTTTTTGACGTAAGGAATGACAAAATGAGTAGGAAGTATAAGATCTTAAATACAGCTATGAAATACTAGCATTATATGTCCAAATCTACTTTTAATTATTGAACTTACATGGAAAAATGCTTGAAGGGTGTAAATTATATTCCAACATAAGTGGAGTGCAAAGCTGCAATATATGTATTGTAAGTCTTAAGACTTGTGCTAGAAATAAACTTTTCTTTGCTAGAAATAAAAATAAAGTTTTAGAATCAGCAAAGCTTTTAACAGTGGCATTTATTTTAAATACAACAGTCCTTTCTTTCCCAGAATATGATGAAGCATGTTATGTTGATTATTTAATTTTTAGAGAGAGAATGTTGGACTTTTTTCTTCTGCATAAATTTAGCCACACCACAATTAGTGCCCATTTGGAACAGAATAGTAGCAGGACTGTTGAGAATGAGCTGTGCTGTCAGAAGTGTGAAGAAGCTGTCACATAATTGTCATTGCTTGGTTCAGTGGAATTGCTGTCATACCTCTGGAATACCACCTTACTACAAGTGTTTGATAAAGTTGTTAACTCTTGGATCTGTTGATCTGCCAGGTAGTGTCATGGCTGGGAGAAGCTTAAACAATAAGACAGAAAATAGAGTAAGTATTCAAATACAAATACAACATTTGTATTTTAGTAATTTAGAATATTCTGTATTATAGAAAAGTTTCTAATGAAAATCATTCCTATGCTAAACCATAAATCAGCCTATTAGTCTTTAAATTGCAGTGTTCCTGTGTGTTTCCCACCAGGCTTCTTGATTCTTTCTATGTTAATTTCGTTCCAAAGTAGATCTTTTTATAACCCTGTCAAAACAAAACCCAACCAAAAAAAACTTCTCTTGTCTTTCCATTTTTTTTTTTTGGTACTGCAAAAGATCCATTTTCATTGCTTTTAGGACACACTTAGAACTGGCTGCTGTGGAAACAGTCTAGTCTGCACATAGTTCTCACCAATTTTTAGGGCCCATATGAGATTTCAGGAGAGGAGAATTAAGTCACAGGTGGCCCAGATGTCCCCTATAGGTACATTACCATATCCTGACTCAGCCATATTCAGTATATTTTTTAAAAGTGTGTTGCCCTGGGGTTTATTTTATTTTCTTTTCACAGACTTGTCAATCTGAGAAGTTTAATCTTTGGGTGCATCTTGTTTTCCCTGGGAATGTAAATAATTTATATTGTTTGTGTTCTTAAATGTGAAAAAACCCCAAAGAGAAATTATATTATATCAAATAACTATGTGTGCTTAGCTTCAGAAACTGAAGTTGTCTGTCATGGCACACAGTGTGAAATACAATGCCATCATAGGTAGGGTGCAATTGCAATTGGCTTTAAAATGTTAGGGGTTTAGTTTTCAAATCCTCCAATCTCTAGGCCAGGCATTTTATAGCAAAACTGAAATAATTAATGCCACATTAATATGACTGCTTTGTTTTTCTTGACAACAAGGATAATAATTAATGAAAACTTTACTCTTTTAAAGCAAAAGAAAGATGAAAGCAGCAAGCATAGCCCCTTAGAAAGGAAAAATGCGGAGGGTTTGAGTGAAGGCACAAGGAAGCAAAGGAAATCTTATCAAGAAGGTAAGTTTGGCATTTTTAAGGCTGATGCACTTCCTTCTGTGCACTGTACATGTCAATGATATAGCCATTTAAATAGGTGGCTCAAACTAGTCTCAGGTTACTCAAGACAAGAAAACCATGCCACCATCAGTAACTTCTGCAAGTACATTGACTCATACTGCTCATCTGAGATTAAAAAAAAATTAAAGTACTCTTGTCAAAGTAATAAAAAATGGTTGCTTGAAAACATTTGGAATGAGTAAATGTATGGGGAATGCTTTATAGTTGAGATTTGCACCTACAGAATCAAACATCACTGGTAGTTAAGTGATTCTTAGTCCTACTTTGCCTGGACAGGGCAGTCTGGACATGGAATCAAGTTAGATGCTGGTTATCACGGGTTTTGGGTTTTTTTGTTACCATTACAATGTCAGTTTCTGCTGTCCTCCCAGGAAGTACTGATCTGTCACACGCCCACAGAAGGCAATGGGAAAAGAGGATATCCAATACTGTGCTGGATGTCCTGGAAAATGCATCCTTGCTTTCTTCCAGTTTTACATCTCAAGAGACTGAAAGTAAGATTTAATTAAATGTGCTTTTAATTCAAGTAATGTCAATGATTTTTTACAGATTTTTAGAGCCAAAATTTATATGACATGTTTAAAATTACATTAAAATAATTTTAAAATACTTCATTAACAAACACTCAAAAAGTTCACTGTGCTGAAGAGAATTTCTATGTATTTTTGTGTGACAGGAAGATTGCGGAGAGTGATGAAACTGACAGATAACAATAGCAACCCTAAAATTATAATAATCTCTAAGAAATTATCCTACAGTCCTCCTTTTAATACACCATTTGTGGAGGTAGCAGTGAGGAATTCATTTGGTGCAGAATGCAACCACCTGTCTTTCAAGTACAGCATACTATTGGGAGCATAAAACATCTACAGCTCTACTTTTGTTGTGATTTAACATACAGGTTAAGGCCAGTGACAAGAACTATCAATGATGTACCTCAGTTGTGAGGCAGAGACTTTTCTTTCTTTTGATTAAAACACTTAGCATGAGGTTTCTTCTGAGAAAGCTTTCAATTTTAAAATGTCCCTTAATTGTTACGATTGTTTAATGTGATTGTGGATATGTGTTCTAGGTAAATGTGAATAAATGCTGTGGAAATAAATAATCAAGATCTGAGTAGTCAGAAAATTCCCAAACTGTGGTAGGAATGTTATATGATAGTTATGCACAGAGCAAGGAGAGTGGACAGAGGAATGCATGTATTTAAGTGTTCTGCTATTAAAAGGCACAGAAACAGCCTCAGGCTTCATTTTTCAGACTTGCAGAGCCACCACCTAAGTTTGCTGAGACACTGCCTCCTCACACCCCTCAGCCAGTTCCTGTGGGCTCCCTGGCCACAAGGAGGTTCCACAGTTTCCTCAGTTTGTTGAGAGGACAGTGCTGTGACAGATGGAGTTATCTAGACTATTTTCTTCCTGTTTCGTCCTGTATCTCATTTCTCTCTTGAATGTAATCCACACTGCTAATGCAATTTTGTGTAAATAACATTTGTGAAATATTTTATACCCAGGTGGTGGTGTTATAAACTACAGTGAAAATAAGCCACGGAGGCAGTGGAGCAAGGAACCCCCTCAGACCCTGATGGACATGCTCAGCAATGCAGATGTCAGCTTAGCATTTAAAACATACACAATTTATAGACCAGGTAAATCCCCATTTTCTGGGCAAGCATTTTTGCAAACAGTTTTTTTTTTGTTTGTTTGTTTGGTTGGTTTTTTTTTTCTTTTTTTTTTTCCCCCATACAGAGTTCCTATGTGTACAGATCATTCACTTGGGTCCATATTACAACAGGCTAGTTTTTGGGGTTTACCAAATGAAAAGTGGACTTAAAAAAGCCAAGTTTGGAATTCATGACTGATTGTACATCTCCACTACAGCTCCTCATGATGGACTTCCACTTGCAGCTCAACAGCTGAATGAGGTTGTGGCAAAGCACAGAGGCCTGCTATGTGCTCCCTCCCCTGAGCTGTGTGGTGTGTGTGTTAGGCAGATGCAGGAAATGCACTGTAGCCCCATCAGGTAAATTCCCCCTCACTGAGGCAGTGCTGCCCTGGTTTGAGGGCAGGGTGGGCAGATGGCACAGCTGAAGACAGTAGCTGCAGTCTACAGATGTGCACAGCCACAGTCACAGTCACAAATGTTTGTTCTGCACTTCAGCTACCTTACTAGGTTATCTTCCCACCTGAAATAGATAACAGCTTATCCTGGAATCTGCTACAAACTGGGGATGAATTAGACTGTTTTGTATTTATATTCTTAATAGTTTTACTTTAAAAATTAAAATATTTTGATGACATTTTAATTTTTATATTTTCAAAGCTTCTGAAAATATATTGAGAGGTCCACTTTCTGATGAAAGCAAAGCATCTGATGAAGTAGATGGTGAACATGAAGCTGTTGTCATAGATTCTAAGAGACTTGAACCTAGATCTGATGAAGATGACACGTAAGTGCAAGTGATGTCCTTGCATTTACGTTTTCTTTGGTTCCTCAAAGAGATTTTTCCATAACAACTTTCCCCTGAAAAAAAAACCCACTATTTTTCTCATCATCTAAATTAATCCCTCTCTTCCATAATGAAATTGAAATTTAGTAGCATTTGATCTCTTACAATGTATGAACAAAAATGCTGTGATATTTGGATGTGTCTGTGTTTTGGGGGTGGTTCTCGGATTCTCAGAATCTCAGATTGTGTCACTGTTTATTTTTGTGGCACCTAGAGATGACTACCTAGGCCTGTATTGCTGCAGTTCAGCTGCAGGCTTGTCAATTATCAACACATTTTCAGTCTCTTAATATAATAATTTGTCTTTGCTTTTGATAAAACTTACTTTTGTAAATTCCATAGAGAATCATAAAGAACCATTTAGGTTCTTTAATCACAGTGGGGCAGGAAGTAAGTCTCTTGTGCTGATATTTTTAACATAATTTATCCTAATTACAAGGTAATTTCTTTTGGGGAGAAAAGCAATTAAAGATTTGTGAAGTTGTGTTTTGGTTTTCAAAACAACATTTTTTTGAAATCTGTTTTTAGAGACTTTGAGGAAGATGACCCAGACTGGGTGTCAGAACTGGAAATGGTATTGGAACAGAGCAACTGAAAACCTGAATTTACCTGCGATGAGTGAAGTTAGGTGGGCTGGTATCCAAGTTGTTGTTAATAACTGGTTATTCATTAAATAATTTCCATTTAAAAAAATCTGAGTGGGCATGTTTTCTGTATCACAAAACCAAGGCTGGAAAATGCACAGTAAACTTTTTTAGAAAGAACACTTGCAGATAGCTAAACAAGTCCATGTATTAAATATGTTTGGAGTTTGTAAAAGCTTTGCAGAAATGTTCGATCAAATTATAGCATTGTTCAGATTGTCCTCTTGCAATATTCCAAGGAGATGGTGTAGCATTCTGAGAAGGTGTAAAGGTGTTTTTCCTGAGTACATAATGAAATGCAGCATTGTGCTGGGGGCTGATGCTGAGTGGATATCAGGTGCCACCAAAGCCTCTCTGTCACTCCTCAGCTGAGCAGGGGAGAAAAAATTTAATGAAAGGCTCATGGGTCAGGATAAGCACAGGGAGAGATCACTCACCAGTTACTGTCACAGGCAAAAAGGACTTGACTTGAGGAAATGGATTATTACCAACCAAATCAGAGCAGAGTAATGAAACATAAGCCCAAACCTTAGAACACTTTTCTCCTACTTTCCCTTCTTCCTGGACTCAATTTCACTTCACTGGTCAAGGCTGATCCCATCAGCAATGGTGGTCTCTGGGATAACAGATCAGAGAAGTGGAGAGGGTGGGCATGGATGGGGACACAGTTGGGTGGGTCTGTCTTGGAGCTGGCTGGCATTGGCTCTGTCCAACACGGGAAGCTTCTGGCAGGTGCCACACCTGTAGCTCCTCTCTGCTACCAAAACCCTGCCGCACAAACCCAATACATGCGTATATATAAATCATCTGTGAAGGGTATATAATGGGAAACATTTAGCTGTGATCAATAGTTGAGGCCTTAGTTTGTGCCATTATTAATCCCCTGAAAATTCTTTGAGACTGAACTTTTGCCTTGATTCAATGAAAGTTTTTTATATGCCACTGCTTTGTGGAAGGAAGCAAATATATTCATGAATGAGGACAAATTTTCTGACTTTTATAGGAGACATGCTCTTGCTGCAGAGAGTGCTATGGGCAATGTCAGGTTTGGGCTCTGTTGTGGTTACTGGTTAATAAATAGACACTTTACAAGAAAAATGTGGCAAGGGAGATGTGAAAAATATGTATTTTATGATTGGCTTTTTGCAAATATTAAAATGAATATTATATGTATTATGTTAGAAAGTAATGCTGTATTAATTTTTTTAGTGGTGTGTTAAATATAGTTTTAGGTTATAACAAAATGTTAAAATAGAAACTATGCAAGATACTTTTTTTAAAGAAAGGACTTGCCCCGAGATAGCAGCCACAGGACACCTAAATATTTCAGAGAAATAATTTACTGCTCCCTTATCAGAAGAAACGAACTTCATCCCACCTCGCTTATCCCTGAGGACGCCTCAGGATTAAGAGGAAGAAGTTGACACTGACCAGACAGAATTCTGTGTTTGAATGGAATTTCTGCATCATGTATGAGATTTATGAACATGCAACAGGCTATTGCTTTTAAGGGTTAATCCTTTGTTATCGGGTGTCCTTTTTCGGGCTTTGTCCGGGTCAAAGGTACCCGGACGTCCGTAACTCTTTGTTTCTGTTGTCTCGTATTGTCCTAATCCAAATTGTCCAAATTATTATTACTCTAATTATATTCCTATTTTTATAACCATTTTATTACTATTAAACTTCTAAAATTTTAAAAACCAGTGATTTGCGTTCTACACAGGAGAGCACAAATGCTCTTGGCAGAGTTCTCCTGGGAAAGCGGTCCCGGATTACGTCCCTGCAGTAAATAATATTAGGAATAATACCTAAGGAAAGCTTTAGGAAATCTGTAGTTCTTGTGTAGAGCCGGTTCATACCTCACCTCCCCTATTGCACATAGGCTAGTACCTGGTGACTTTCCACCAATGATTCAAGACCTTGAGGCAGTCGAGATTTCCTTTCGGGCCACCCCACTCCCACCACTGACCATGCAATTCCCAAGTCCGTGTCCGTGGGAGGGAGGGGCGGTTTGTGCCAGGGAGATAAAGCTCCCTCCGCTCCCGCCGGCTCTGCAGGCGCCACTCCT